TGATTCTATGATAGGACAGCAGCTCGGATGTTCTGCCTTGGCCCAAGCATGGACTTTGCTGGTTGCTCTTACCTGAGGTCTTGGTGTCGGCTTGTGGCTGCTGAGCGTTGATTGGTGCTGGCTGCAGTCCCTGCGTGCCAATCGGCGCAGCGGGGTGCAGTCCTTGTGTCCCAATTGGTGCTGGCTGGATGCCCTGGGCACTGATGGGTGCCGGCTGGATGCCCTGGGCACTGATGGGTGCCGGCTGGATGCCCTGGATGTGACGGGCATGAGAGGCATCTACGGTCATCAGCTGCATGGGGTTGAGGTGGACAGTGGAGGCCACTCCCACGCCGGTCTGAGCCGTGATGGCCGAGTTGGGTGCCTGGGCTGAAACTGGAAACACAGACACCCTGTCAGGTCTAGCCAGTGGGTCGCTGCTGCTCCTCCCTCAGCACCTCTCCCTCAAGTATTTACTTTCCAAAGACTATTTTGCTTTGAAAAATTAATTTCCCAGCCTGCTTGGAGCCGTAGTAAATTTGAGAGTAGAGAGGCCAGAGTGTCTGCCAGAAGAACAAAACAGTACTGTTTACTTCCATTCAATTTCCTATTTCAAATGGCAACAGGAGAGAAAAGATCAAGTTTAACCCTACTTTCAAAGTTAAGCTCAAATTACCCTTCTGTACCAAGCTTCCAGTCTCAGAGATCTGTGCATTATTTTGGCTCACTATCTTATTTTACAAAGCTTTTAAGCACCAACACGTGGCGTTTTCCCTGCTTAAAATCCAGCACGAGGTCCCTGAAAATGGCTTCTGTATAAAGTATGGCACATTGATTCCTAAACGCCTGTCCAACCTGACCTTGAATGTCTCCAGAGATGGGGCATCTACCACCTCTCTGGGCAATCTGTGCCAGTGTTTCACCACCCCCATGGTAAAAAATTCTTCCTTATATCTAGCCTGAATCTACCCTCTTGTAGTTTAAAACCATTACCCTTTGTCCTGTCCTTTTGAGTCATTTAATTATCCCAAAGCCCACCTCATATCCTGACACGACATAGTCAGGGCTTGCAACTTTTCCCTGGAATTTCAACGACAGAAAGAACAGGCCCCAGTAACAATCGCCCATGCATAATTTCCCATTCAGCAAATGGGCTTTGCCACCTCCAAGTCCTTCCAAATTCCCTCTACGCCGCTCAGTCGTAACATGCTGCCAGCAGACACAGATATGTCATGAAAATCCTAATTCCTAGGGTTTGGACTGTGGAGATTACCACCTTATAGAGAACAGCCCTAAACCCCTTGGTAAAGTAAAAATGCTGCAAGTTTTGTCACAGAAAATGACCTAAGTTTGGGTTGACTACATGGGCTCACATTACATGTAATTTTTGACTTCTCTAAGTTCCTGCAACAGTTCAAACATGTTAATTGCCCCATTTTTTAAAAAATAACACTATCAAAGGTGTGCAATGCAGCTTTTTTTTCTATTTTTGGTTCAGGTTTCTCTCTCAAACTGTACATTCATGTGGAAAGAGGTTAAAATGGGCTTGTCAGAACACCAGGCAATGAAGATGCAAAGAGCTGGTTTAGTGTGAAAGGGCTGAACTGTTTTGATTTGTAGAATCAAAAACTATTACTCAAGAGACACAAATCCCTGGATATGAAATGTGAAACAGATTTCTCAGCAGTTATTAGCTGTGCTTAGTACCTCTGAAGCAGTTCAGTACCCCTTGTCCATGAGTTTTCCCCTTGGCCAACAAGTCGTCAAAGACTTTTTGTGACACATAGAATCAAATAAAAAAGCCTCAGCTTCCCACACCACTGGAGCTCGTACACAAGCCAACGACGGAACGCAGCACCCAAGCCAGCTTGCCTCACCTGGATACTGGCGAATGGTGGACACTGAGCTGGTGATGGGGGTATAGGTGTGCGCAGTCAAAGGGTAGGCAGAGGGCGGGTACGTTGGTAAGAAATACTGGAACTGGACAGGCACCGACTGCCTACAGACATTAAAGAGAGCAAGTGTTACACACCACGTTTCAACAGTTCGTCTTCAACTCCTGCCTTTGGGATGTGCCCTGGGTTTTGTAACCTCTGCTATCATGATTAATTCAACAGTATCAAATCCCACTCCCCCCACCCCCAGTTTTGAAACACACTGTTTCCAGCGTATCAGAAAGTAACAAGTCACTCAAGACCTACTCACACACATTCTCATTCCCAGAGCTGTTATTTCCCCACCTGTTATCATTTCTGGTTTCCATTGCTACTGGGTTTGGAGACGCCCGGTGACTAGAGAGGGGTATGAGGTTACTCCTCTCTGCTGTGTAATCGGACTGGATCCGGGGAGAAGTATGTGTGATTTGCTGAGGAACCACTTTAGCTGCATAAAGACAAAGCTGTAATCAGTTCACAGTCACAGGAAAAGTTGGCAGACACTGCAAAGGCTACTAATGTAGTTGTGTAGGAAACGTCTCGGGCAGATTCCACAGCCAGGCAAAATGACATTCCTACCTTTAGACCTTAGTGGTTTACCTCCAAATGATCACACCAATCAAACTCAACTAGGCTACAACTAACGCCTCGAGAAGCACATGAAGGAACTTACAAAATCATCTACAAAAGCCATATTCTATCACCAATCAGTTACAACTTCTAGTACACACAGTGCAGGTTCTGAAATGCCAAAAGGACCAAAGTCTAAAAATTCACTTGAGTAAGTTAATGAGCCATTTTATTACTTACTCCTCTTAGAACATCTATTTCTTCCTGGCATCAAAAAAGCTATGCCACAGCAGACCTGTCAATTGGTTTCTCCCAGCCTGAACGGATTTTCTTCCCCTCCTTCATTTGCTAGTACGCACAAACACTGCTAGGGCAATCAGAAACATCGAGGCACCAGTTAAACTCAAAACTGAAATCACTCACCGACTGGGATGTTTGAGGTCGTGACAGCTGTAGCATGGGAAGAATGGGAGGGCATTGTCATGGTGACAATGGTGCTTGTAGGCGCTTGGGTGTGAGACACAGAACCTAAAGAAAAAGAAAACAAACATACAAGATTCTTCTACAGAGGCCTGTCACACCAGTCTATCGATATCCAAATAAAGAGGGCAAAAGCCCCAACCCACACAACCTCCCTGAAGAGCCCAGCAATTTCTCTCCTGAACCCTGCTCGTGCACTTCCAAATGCAATCTTTTCCACAAATCAAGAACTCCTCAAAAGTAATCAGGTTCCATCTTCAAGGAGGTGAAGCAACAAAAAAGCAACAACAAAAGCACACCCCACATCTCTCCCACAGTGGCTTTAAAAATACTCACCAGCTGTGGTCGCTGAAGCAATGGTATTCGTTGCCAAAATAGGTGCCACTGTTGCTGCTGCCACTGGAGTACCAGTACTGAAAATGGTTTTCTATGAACAGAAAAGAAAACCTTCAAGTCAGGACTAGGACATTTTAAATATTTACTTAGTATGGAATTATGCTGCACAGACTGTAAAGAACATGAATTTCTCACCTAATACTAACTCTTTTCCCAAATTTAATCTTAGCCCTCAACATACAAATAAAACCGACATCTAGAAGCAGTAAGAGGTGTTTTTTCTTCCTGCCATTTACCTGAGCCATGGTGTGGAGCTGTGGCTTCTGTGTTCCTATAGCTGGGTGAGAGGGTAGTGTAATCCGAGTAGCTGTATCCCTCGGCTGCGCAGGCCGCTGAATACTAATAGCTGCAGAAGGCGGGTGCTGCTGGATAGAGAGGGTGGGTCGACTGAAGAGAAAGAAAAATAATCATGAAGGCAACTCTGTGGATACTAAATCCAAAAAACAAAACACAGGGACACAGATCAGGCCTTGGTCTCCTCTTCTGCAAAGGCAGCACTGCTACCAAGTACAGACTAAAGCCGAGTAAGAAATTTCAACCACCTTGTTCTGTCCTCATCTCCCCTACGCACCCAGCTGGGAGGGCAAACGTACCACTAACTCCTACCTGTTCACAGAAAGATTTTCTGTCAGGGATGCTTTTCAACATTCCTGTGTCATTTTTTCACTGTGCCTTCATGAAAAAAGATGGGCTGACTCAGCCACAAGTTCTACAACAGAAACTCTGCTTTCCAGGAAGCAGGACTTCCCAGCTGATTCGTTAAGCTCTTTCCTTCTCAGAACACAGAGCCACAATTCACACTAAGAGTAATTTTTACTCATAGAACCAAAAGCACTTGCACGGTGCAAGCATTACATCATCCCAGATCTAGAGGATTATCAGAACTGGATGATTAACACGCTTTTCTCTTTCCTGCAGCCCCCGTGAAGTCAGAGCACTGTAGGTTTCAAAGTGTCTTTACCTGAGGGTTGATTCCGTAGCATGTGCTGCTGTTGTAGTTATAACAGGGGACTGGGCTCTTGTGGCTGAGACGGTTGCCACCACAGCAGGAGGAATAGTGCTTGAAGTTGTCACAGGAGGACGAGACTATAAAAACGAGTCAAAAAGAGACACATTCATAAAATAAATTCTGCTGTTTAGACAGTAACTAAAAATTACTTGGTTAAAACTGGGTTTCCTACATCTCAGTGATAAGTTTTGGCATTCTAAGACATTTTCAGTCTCTCCGAATTGATCTGTAAGCTCCTAAGCAGATCTGTCCAGGTTTTCAAAGTATGTATGTCATAGGAATCAGTCACCAACAAAGTTAACAAAACTGGATCCTTTGAAAATCTTTAGGAAAAAAACCCAAAGGCCAGTTCCCTTCAGAACAAAAAAAAAAACCACCACCAAACCCTGATCCAAGTGTATGCAGGAAGTCAGAGGTGATGACATTGGGATCCTAACAGAGAGCGCAAAGTAAAGACGTTTAACCCTCGATCCCAACACTGAACTTTGTTCAGTACAACTCTGTTGTAGGGAGATGGTACCTACACTCTTCTCCCTATATGTATATATAAGCTGAGAGACACAGAACCATTTAAAATGAGATATTTTAAACTCTATGCCAATAAATGTATTTAAGAATAAATTAACACCAGCACTTCACATCAGACTTTTCAGACTTTAAAACGCATGTATATCTGAACTAAATCCTCTTCCCAGTTTCTAAGTACTTTGGAGTCAGCTAGAAACCCAATTCCTGACACCAAGTCTACAAGGAAACAAAACCACAGGACTAATGCAACTATTTCACTGCTTGCCATCAGAAACTGGTACCCCAGAAACAGAACTGGAGGAGAGCTGACAGCCTAGTAAATAGGCAATTTTGGGTTATATACTACAGGTCAGTGCCAGGAAGAATTTGGAGGCGGTGGTCAGTGTTCTGCAGAGCTGCCCGGGTGCTACCTGCCTGGATTGGCTGATGAATGATGTGCTGAACTGCTGGCTGAGCGGTAGCTGCGTTTGGCAACTGCGAAGCTGGTCTCAGGACTGTAGTTACTTTAGAACTGGACATCACTGCAGCAGCCGCTGCACCTGGGAAACAAACCAAGCATGTTAGAGTACTGTGCACCCAAAGGGCTCCGTTAAGGTCGCAGAGGCAGAGTCTGATGTTAGTTGGTGCGTATTTCAGCTTGAATGTACAGTGTATGTGCGTCAGTTCAGATGACATCGGTTCAAGAGTACAGTTTGCAACAAATATACGTAAGGTTCACAAAGTATGTGGGGAAGGGGAAGTATTATTTGAAATTAATTTGCTTTATTGATACATATTTTTCCCCTATAACCTTATTGCAGTATTTTTCTAGGCCAAGCTATGGAAATCAGTAGAAATACTTCAAACAGTTTGATTACTGGGCTAATGTGTAAACAAGTCACCCAGTACCAACAATAATCTCCCTGTACCTGATGAAGAGATGAAGAAAAACAAAACAAAACAACCCCAACCAGCTTTTAAAGCTCCAACAGCATGGGGCTTTGGTTAATTTGTCTACTGTTGTCTGTCTCCTGATCAAAAGAAATTGCTGTCAAAGGCATATAGCCTTGAAATCATTTGATGAACTAGACTGCATAGCTCCTGTGGATGCACCTAATAGAAATTAAAATTATTACCTTGAAAGTTAATATTCAAAACCAAAGAATAAAAGCAGGAAGAAAGAAAAGATGCATCAAGTGACAACACGAAGTTTGTGGCAGCTGCCCTACAAAATCAAGTGAACAAAACTACATTGTACTTCAGCTACAAGTAAAACTGCACAGTCCTTCCACCTACTCTAACAAAAGAGGATTAAGTCTTTGCTCGTGTCAATTTATTTTTCTTTAGTGACCAAATAACAAAAATATGAAAAGAAATAAAAATATAAATAGTACAGTCTAAAGTTGAACTGGAAATCCAACCCAAAACTGCAGTCAGCGATCAGACAGACTGTACTGATCACAGGGCTCCTTTTAAGGGGCTGACCACCTGTTTTGTAAACCATAGCAACCAAAATCCTGGGAGACAGGAGCCTGTAGTTTGCACCAGCATTTAACTCGAGGATAAATGCAAATGCATGCGATACGGTATGTCAGTGGGCACAAAACCACGAGTGATCCTGTGACAGGTGGGCACAAGAATATGCCTCAACTGTTCAGATGCCACCGTGACAGGCCAACGACGCTTGTCACAGGACCGTACAAGACAGTTTGCTGGACAGGTCAGTCTATACCAGTGCATATTTTTTCTTGGAAGTATTCACTATTCCAACAGCACAGAACTACAACAACAGACGTGCTGGTAACTGCCAGCATTTTAAACACTGTCACACAGTCCTGCCCTGAATGGCTGAAGGCAACATAACGCTTACAAGGCCAGCAGTCACCTATGTATGCTAGCAGTTCAAACAGCTGGCATTAGCTGCGTTGGCAGCAAGGAGCATTTCCAGAGGTGAAGGCTAGATGCGCCTCCCCTGAGAGGCTGGGAACAGAAGGCAGGGACTGCACAGCAAGATCTTTACCTCGGGGCAGGTGAGAAGCTCCAATGTGTAGTGGAGGCCCAGGAGCACTACTTCTGATGATAGACATCTGCACGTTGGTAGCCATGATATGATGCAAGTTACTAGGATGCCCCTGCACAGTTAAAGAAATAACAAAACCCAACATAAACCAGGTGTTGACAAGAATTAATGGCCACACTAACAGCATTGCCATATGGAAGTCACAAAGGCAGAGAAGAGATTTCATAGAAATACTTGGTGTAGAATGGTTGCGTGCATCACAAGATGAGTGAAGAAAGAGGCAGGTGTTTCCACAGGACAGAGTTACAGTACCTGCTGACATTGTTTGTGCCACATGTAAACATTTATTTCTTTCACTTATCTATTCTTCTGGTTGGCACGTGGGTGACAGCCAGCCAGCAGTCACCCACATATCAACCAGTAAGATGGCCCTTCTGCCATCAGTGACTTTTAGTGCATAGATTCATACCAACTGTCCAGTAAAGTCAAGAGAATAATGGGAACTTGGCAAATGCTGCAACAAATTAATTCTGTTTTCTAATAATGCTAGACTTCAAGGATATTCATGAAGATAAAAATCCACTGAAACTGCTGCACATCCTTAGCCAGCCTAACTCAAATCCACATAAAGGTACTTCACATAAAAGCCCTGAGACTTCGGAGGTTTGGCAAGGATTGCTCTGGCAAGCAAGTTGCAAATCACAAAGTGGCTCTGCAGTCAAACTTAAAGGGAAAAAAGTTACAAAGAATTATCTACACACACTACCACCACCACCCCAATTTTGTCACCGGTGCTTTAATAAGAATACACTGCAAAACCAGAAACCGTTCACTGGTTTCTTCTGATCTGCTCCCAGGAGAGCTAAAGAGCACAACAGTGATGAACTCCAGCAGTCTGTCTGCACTGGAAACTCTCCAAGTGATAGTGAAACAGCAGGAGCTTTCAAGGAAAGACTCAGCTGCACAGCAGCTTTTGGATAAGTTTCAGCTATCACAGTCTCCCTGTGCTACATCAATTGGGTGACCACAACAGATTGGCAGCTTTTTAAAGAGCTAGTGATAACTGAGACTGAGATCTAATGCTCCAGGCAGAACTGATCCAACGACTGGTGACCACTGAATGAGGAAGCCTGCTCTCTCCACCTTCCCTCCTGCAGCAAGAGCCCACCTCAGTTGCACCGATATCAGTATTGTTCTGAGCATGTGCGAGCTGGAACATATGAAAACCAGACCTGTTGCCCACTGATTGTTGCCACAGGAATTGTTGGAGCCTGTGGTATGTTGCTTTCCATGGTCACAGTAACTTGCCCAGGAACCTTTGTGGGAGCTGAGAGAGTAGAGGGTGGAGCAGGAGCAATGGGCCGGCTGGGCATGGTGGGCTTCAGAGGAGGCTGCAAGAAATACAGGACAGAAACGTTGGCAACTCCAAAGGAGAGCTCAATATGGAAGCAGAAATCATTTCATGGGAGTCAAAGCCTGGAAAGAAAGTCAGCTTTGTGCAAGGACAAGTATGGTTAAGTATTTGAAAAGGAAACACATTGGTTATTTAGAGCCATTCCATTTCAATTCAGGACCAGGACTGTATTGGAAATATGCAGCTTTCAACATACAGCATGAGTCAGAAGTGGAATCTGTAAGGGCTATGGTATTCCCCTACAGACACTGGGCGTTAACAGTTAATTTGATATTTTCATCTCCTCCTGCAGACAAAAGGGAAGACTTCAGAAAATTATTGAAATCACTTTTCTCTTAAGAGATAAACACATAACTCCCCTCTCAAAAATAATGCTGTGATGACTTCAGAGACAAAAGCAGAGTTTTTCAGTGTAATTCATTTTTGCTCAACACACTAACTTGCAATATAGATTGGATCTTTTCCCCTATGAATGGTGACCCCCCTCATTACCTTCATAAGTCCGTCGGAAAAGGAGAGCGGCACAGCAGGAGTCAAGTGCGCTGGTGGTGCTGTCACTGTCACTGGGGCACCAGACTGGACAGGGTGGTGCTGTGTCAACATCTGAACCTGTGGATATGGCCGAACCACCACCGGTTCCTGCTTTTCTTCTCGAGGTTGTATAGAGCCGCCAGGGCCGATGTGCTCCCTGGGAGCAACTTCCGAGTCGCGGCTAGATTCATCACTCACTAGCAAAAAAAAGAAAATAGGAACTCTGAGGAAAAAGGTTAAAAAGGTTAACAAGTTTGCACTGTTCACCACCAGGTCAGAGATGTGATGTCAGAAACAACCTAAACAAAAGAAATGCACCCTTGCAATTAAGCGTATTCCAATGATGAAAACTCTAGGAACTCTGGCTCTGCTTCAGCTGGTTCCCCTTCAGAACTGAAGCGCCTTGTAATGCTGGGCAACCTGGGGTCACCTCTGAGAAGTCTATCCAAACACCTTCTTCAAAGGAAGGCTGACTAGTTTTACTCTCAAGTGAAAAATACATAATTATCTAAGTAACTGCCATAAATTCCCACATCAAATGGGCAATATTAAAAAGTCTTAATTTAATGCATTACATGTCTGGATGTCAAGCTGAAAATCAAGTATGAACCCTCCTGAAAACGAAGCTGCTCCCCCCATCACCACGGCAGCATCCAGACAGGTACTCCCACCCTGTTTTCAGCTACATGTAGTGCTCCCGCACCCACCCATC